AGAGTAGGATTTCTGGATTTCATGTATCTGCAATGTTGTGAGATTGTGCCAAATTCCCCTTCATGGGGTCAAACCACTTTGGATTTCTACCAACAATACATGATTATTTCTTCGCAGCCTCACCAAAGAATGCAGCATCAATGGATTTCCTCCCAGCAGGAGAGAAACTACAGTATAGTTTTATTTTGCATTTCTTCTATGCATGAAGATACATGCTTAAGGCTCATCTGCACTTCTTTTTCTATGACTTGCCCATTCATATATTTGATACCTTTTAGATTTGCTTAATTTAAGTCAGCCTATATTTTAGACCCTTATCTTCTGTTCAATCCACCATTGGCTCTCAAACTACTGCATCAGCCTTCTACCCAGTCTCCCTGCCTCCAACTCGTGCCTACATTACACATTCTCACATGATAGCTAGTCTGTTTCTTTTTCTTTTAAGAATTAACATCATTCTCCTGCATATAATCCTCCAGTGGTTTCCCATTACAACTAAACAAAGATCCGTATTTTTTGTCAAGGCCCAATAGGCATACAAGGCCTTAATCTACCTCATTCCTCCTGGCCTCTCTCTCTCTCTCTCTCTCTGCTGGAGCCATCCCGTGTCTGTCTGTCCTTGGCCTGCACCAAGCATATTCCCTTCTGAGGAAGTCTGCAAGGAAGCCTCCTCTCCCACAGTCTCCCACAGCTCCCCTCACTTTTAAGGCTGTGTACTTGTCACTTGAGAGCAGCCATCTTTAGCCACTTCATGTAAACCTGCCCTCCTCCCATCCTTGACTTTCTTTCAGCACCTCACGACCTGACACTTTACTATTCATGTCTTGTCAGCCCCTAGGTCCTTCCAGAATGTAGGGAGTTAAGGTAGGGGCTTTCTCCTGTATACCGCCCGCTCTCCTGCATCTGGAACAATGCACATCTGTTTCAGTGTACCCAAAACCTGTTAGGTTTCTCCCTATTTTCCCATCTCTTTCAAGATTTCTTCTAATGCTTCTTTTGATTAGTCATCTTAGACCAGCATTTCTTTCTTCTCTTAAGAGTAGAAGTTACTCAGAATTAAAGACACAAGACTAGCTACTAAGAACCACAAAAATCTAAAAGAGGAATTCCAATGTCCAGTGAAAAAACCAGCGGTAACTTTAATTCAGTATAAGGACATTTAGTGTTAAATGTCCTACATTACCTACAAAAGGACCCATCTATGGATTTAATTACGTCATAAGACAAAGTATACCGTCTGAACTCTAAAGGGAGATGTAATGCACCGAGTTTCACCTGCATTCCCTGAATAAAGCATGACGATGGGACTGTGAACTGTTTTACTCTAAAAGACCATAGAGGGCTGGTGAGTGAATGGTGCTCCAACCATTCCACAGGACACTACATACTTTGGAAAGGGCCTGCAGCCACGCTATGCACAACTGCAGGGAAACCTACCCTAGAGGGCTCTCTAGGCGGCAAGCACAGTGCCCCGGGCTTTAGGTTGTTACCTCCCTTTAGAGCAAAATGCTATGAAGCAGCACATGAAGAGTGAGCTCATTTTTGTAAAATAAACAAAATGTTATGTTTCTATACAAACAGCACATTTAGGAAGAGTAAATGTCAAAATATTAATAAGAGTTCTGGATATTCTAAGTGAATGACTTTTTTTAGATTTTCTAAATCTTTTACATCAAATGCTTATTGTCATTAAATAAAGCCCCCCCCCAAAAAAAAAGAGGGTTTAAAATAGCTACTGGAAAGAGGAAAGATCTGTTGTATGAAAAGTTGATGAGTAATGGATAACAGGACTTTAGTATCTTATTTTGTGTCATTGATACTACCGTAGCCCACCAGTTATAGTGGGTACACAGTTCGGTAAAGGCAAGGTAGTGGAAATATTCTTTTCTTTAATTTTTTAAATGTTTGTTTAGTTTGAGAAAGAGAGAGAGAGAGCAGCAGAGGCGCAGAAAGAGGAGAGAGAGAGAGAATCCCAAGCAGGCTCTGCACTACCAGCGCAGAGCCCAAAGCAGGGCTGGAACTCACAAGCCATTAGAGCATGACCTGAGCGGAAACCAAGAGTTAGATACTTAACCAACTGAGCCACCCAGGCGCCCCTAGAAAATTTCTTTTGAGTCTGTCTGAAATCTACAGGTTTTTAGAATATCTCATTGAAAAGGCTTGAAGAAATCATGTGCTTCTGAAATGTTTGAGAAAAACAAGGCACAGCATTATTTATAGATGATTTTGGCCTAAGAAATGAACTAATTAAATTCTTCATCATAGAAAAGCCAAAATGTTTTATATTGAAGTAGGTATTCCTTAGTTTCCAGGGAAACTGATATAAAATTGTCTGAAATAAAGACATTAAAAGCAAACTTTTGATGTGCCTGTACTTATATAGTGTTTGACCTTGTTTCTATGGAAATCTAATAGGCAAATGCTGAAACTGAGGTGTTCTCATCACTTTACTGAATATCAAAAAAATGTAAGACAAATTGAAATGAAATTTTACTATTATGTTAAACATAAAAGGTAAATTCTATACTCACAAACTTTTTTAAAACTTTTTTGGTTTAATACTCCTTAGAGTCCTATGCTTAAGGTGTCCTACCTCATCAGCTTTTATTTTTTTAAGTTTATTTAGTTATTTTAAGAGAAAGAAGGAGAGGCAAAAGAGGGGGAGGAATGGAGAGAGGGGGAGGGAGGGAGGGGGAGAGGGGGAGAGAGAGAGAGAATTCCAAGCAGGTTCTACACTGTCAGCATAGAGTCCAACATGGGACTCATACTCACAAACCATGAGATCATGACCTGAGCTAAAATCAAGAGTCAGATGCTTAACCGACTGAGCCATCCAGTCACTCTTCTCACCAGCTTTTTTCCTAATGTCCCTCTGTCCAAGGCATTCTTGGCTTCAATTTGAGGTCACCAGAACAAACCCTAAAATGCATCAAACCATTTCCCTGACCAGTTAATCTAGGCTACTTCATAACTTCTACTTTTAGTCTTATCAATTGTAATGAATGTACAGACATAGGAAGGAGAGGTAAAAGTTGCTTTTAAAGTGTGAACAATCAACTTTGAATGGAAATAATCAAGAGGAGTACGTTGAGATAGGCCCACCTTATGGATAAATAAAAAAACATCAGATGCATTCTAAAGAGCTGTTTGGGCACCCCAAGAACTGAATTCAGCAATCTGTCACCTCCACGTCAGTCTCTTCTGTTTAGTAACTGTGTTACACAGTCACTGCTCATCTCTGGGTCTCTCCTTCCTCATTAGCAATTTAGGGAGAATGAATACTTGTGGTCTTATCTGTAGTTGAAAGGGCCAGATGAGACTGACATGAAAATGTGTTGTAAATCTTAAAAGACTTATGGAAAGGTCCCATTTTAGTCTCTCATCCAACACTACTCACCTACTGACTAGTTTGTAAAATCACTCAGAAGCTTACCTTTCAGCACCAAGCAGAATAGAGGTTTTTGCCAAGTATTTACATGTTTTGTGTTTAAGCGTCCAATTAATTCATTTAATGTGTTCATTCTTTTACAACATTTGAATATTCTGAAAAAGCAGTACTTTCCAGTCACAAAGCCATGTCCATCATACGGGTGAATCCACAGGCTTAATTATTATAATTCTTAAGAGCCCCACTAAAGTTTAAGTAGAAGAGCTATAAGACATTTCCCCTAGAAATAAGGAAATAAGCTGTGGCATTTAAATGAACAAATGGGCTAATGGGGCTTTAACGTTAAATGTTTACAATGCAATGTTTTCTACTTCAAAGAACATAAGACTTCGTTAAAAAGCCACATTTTTATTAAAGAGCCATGTTGTTATTCAGAATTATTTTTACCTAGTCATCCCTTTCCAAAATTCCAAAGGCAAAAATCAAACATTTCCTCTTTACTCTCGCCCTTCCCCCAACCGGTTAGTCTGAAGAACTTTCACCCCAACATTCTTAAAAGCTGAACAGGATTCTATTGGCAGGAGTAGGGAGGAAGGAGAGGGGGCCACGGAGACAAACATTCTGGTACAAGACCTGACACCTTAGCTGCCAAACCTTTATATTACAAATTGAGGTCTAAATTTATGGGTTTTTTCTCTTCGGAAACTTTCGACCAATAACCTCATGAATCATCGCACCTCTCATTTTTAGAACTGGCAACATGTAAATGAAGTCTGTTACATCACTGAGATAGGGCAGAAGTCACTTTTGTGTCAAAGTGGGAAATTTAAACTGAGCAGAACTCCCTGAGCTCTCCGTTCCGTAAAACAAAACAAAACAAAACAAAACGATTCTCTCAGCCCTGGCAGTAACATTTCATACTGTTCACAATAATTTCAAGCCTCCTCTCCCATCATTTTCTTTCCGTCTTCAAATTGGAGTAAGGTAGTTTTCCATCGAGGCTACTGAAAACAGTCTACTTAAGAACACCACACAGACTCTCGCAGGCCAATCTCTATTTTTAATTTAAATAACAAATCCTACAATTTGTCTGAACTGTCCCGCGCGTCAACTACCTTACCGGGTAGGAGAAAAGGGATCATCAGGCCCTTACTTGGATCCCTTCTTTAGGTAAGGGTCGGGAGATGGGGTGGATCCTCCCAACTTGGGGTATTTACATTTCCGTTGAGAAAGGGGAGAGCGTATCCGAAAAAAGTCTTTATCAAGTCCCCGGAGACGTCCAATAGACCCCGAAACGGGAAAGGGCTGCGGACTGGACGGTCTCAGGCCCCGCTGGGAAATGGGAATACGAGAAAGAACTGGGCGTTCGGGCAGGGAAGAGGGAGAGAAACTGGCCGGACACGACGGGAAAAGAAGAAAGGATGGGGACGCCAGGCAGAGCCAGCCTTCATCCCCCGCGCCCAGCCCCGGGAAAGCCCGCTCCGGACAGGAAGGAGCCAGAGGAGGCGGCTTGGTCTCGGGGGACCCCGGGGGCAACGGAGGCCAGAGGTCCGCCCGAGAACGGACAGCACCGGCCCCCCGAGAGGGACAACAAGGCCCGCCTCCTCCTCACCTTCGGGCATCTCCCGGTCGCTGATGTGCTGCAGGTGGTGGCCCTCGCCGGCTCCGAAATCCAACTCCGCGGGCTCCACGGCTGCAGGCGTCGGCGCTACCGCCACCGCGTCCCCGGCCGCCGCCTCGTAGATCTCAGACTCGTAGTCTGGCTGCGCCGGCCCCGCGCGCCGGCCCAGCTTGGGGCTGGCATTGGGGGACACGCAACAGGTCAGCGTGTTCCCCATGGGGCGCCTCCACTCCCCGCCGCCTTCGCTCGCCCCGGACTCCGCCGCGCTCAGCAGCTGCCCCCTCCCCCAACAATGGCGCGGTCCGCACCGGCAGCCCCGGGCTACGCCGGGGCTGTGCCGCGCATGCAGGCGCGGCCTCGCCCGCTGCCCGCCGGTACGCCCCGCCGCCGGGCCCCGGGCAGGGCTCCGGCCCCGGCCGCACCCCCGCCGCCGAGCTGCCGCCGCCGCCGCCGCCTCCCCCGAGCCAACTAGCCTGTGAGGGCGGCGACCAGCCCGGCTTATTTAAAAGGGGTGGGGACCCGACAAGCGCTGAGAGGCGCAGCCACTGCCGGGAGAGAGCGCGGTCGGAGCTCCTCCTCCTTCCGCCACCACCTCCCGACTGCCGTCCGCTGGCCTGGCTGGCGCCTGCCAACCGGAACACATTCTGCAGTCACCTGGTTACGAGGGACCAATCACGCCCAGAGTTCCCTCCACGCGCCCGCCTCGGAGCGGAGGCACATGACTCACAATGCCCCGCCCCCGCCCCGCGGCTGCTCCGCCCCCCGCGCGGCGCGCCACAGACTCTGGTTTCCATTCATCTCGCGCAGCCCGGAGCTTTCTGGTCCTGCGGGGAGCTCGCCCGGCATGAGTTATTCTAAGCCGTCCCGGGTCGGTGGGCTTTATAGAAAGTCTCCTTAGTAAAGAGCCCATTCCGTTAGCAACTCGATTTCACCGGGTGTGACAGCTGACTCGTTTGATCGGTCACCGAACTTCGTTCCACCCGAATTGTTGACCGCTTTTGTAACTAAACGCTCCTCCTCGCTTGACTTCCAAATGTTAGTTTTCGCCTGCGACTTGACCACGGTTGTCAACCCCCGGAGCCCTGGTCCTCCTCTCCATAGAGCGCTATGGCTTTGTGTCTTGTATGAGACTCGAGGACGTCTTACCTTCCACTTGTTGTTAATCTCTAAAACAAGGGCCGAACTCGTCCTCCCGCCCCGGAAACCCTGGGGTTCACCAACTCGCTTTTCTCCCCCTCTGCTTCTCCCTCTCATGGCAGGAGTTTCCAGATTTCCCTTCTTTGGCCCACAACGCATAAAGCACGATTTTCTCATACAAAATTGAGAATCACAAAGTGAGGTTGCACGGTCCTGATCTGATGAAGATGATGATAACGATAGTTAACATCTGTCTAGCGCTTAGTGTGAGCCCAACCCCATTCCAAGTTAGGTACCCATTTAACCCTCAACAACAACCCTTCTACGGAGTGTACAGAAGAAATTGAGATGAACATTCCCAAGGCCAAGTGATTGCTCAGATGCGGGGACAGGATTTGAGCTCAGATATCGTGGATCCTCACAGGCACCTTATTGCGATTATCAGAAAATAAAGATAGAAGTAAAACTTGAGGGGGAGTGACATTGCATATCAAGATTTTGTTTTTTAAGGAGGGACAATTTTTTAATGTGGATTTTTAAATGTTTTCCCTTCATTCAACATTGTCTCCCATGTGCCAGGCACCGTGTGTGGGGAACCTTGGGGCCCTCACTGAGCTCTGAAGGATGACAAAACAAAGAGTCCAGTTATCTGAGGTCACACTGCTGGAAAGTGCTTGTACCTAGGGTTCAAACCTAGATCCAGCTGACCCCAAAGTACATGCTGGGGGAAAGGGGATGGATTTTTATTCTGGAAACATGAGACAGTTGAGTAATATGAAGCTGGGGAGGCACTATCGGATGGTGTGTAGTGAGGCCACTCCCGACAATAAGAAGAACTGAAGGATGCAACAAGACCAGAGACTTTATGTTCAACTAGGAGAGAAGGCAGTGGCAGTGACTGAAGTGAAGGGAAAGGACTTGAGGTCTTTTGGGAGAGAGAATGGAAATGCTTGACGACTGGGTATGGAAGATGAAGTGAAGAGGGAGGCAAAAATGGCTGCTAGGATTCTGGCTTTGAGGACTGGGTAAACAGTGGTGACTTTCTCCTAGAGAGGGAACACAGGAAGAGGGATGGGTTTGAGGTGGAAGCTAATCTTTGCCCTATGAAGTAGAACATCCAAATGGAGCTCTCTGGTGGAAAGTTAGATTTATAGCTCTTTTGACTAAGTCTGTTTTGCGGTATCCCAACGTACATTTTCAAAAATCACACATGTATTAAACCCCTAAAAAAGTAATTGGGGAAATTTCCTGAAGTTGACATGCTGAGAATATAACATTTCCTGGTGACCATTTTTGTAGAACAACTTGGAATCTGTGGTTTTAATAAATGGAACATTTTATGTAAAATAAAACTGTTAAAAATATTTACAATTGTATTGTTATTAGAATATATAGAAAGTAATGAAGTCATGGGTACAGAAGTGATTGTCTTGAGAAGATGTGTATAATTTAAAAGATTTTTTAAAAAGAAAGAAAGAAAGACTAGGAGAATAGAGAGATTTAAGTGGCATTTCAGTGAAACCTGCAAAGGTGAATAGTGAAGTCCAAGGACCTGAGTACTAATCAGGAAAGGCTGATCAGGTGAGTCCCATGGGGGGGGGGGATGGGAGGGGGGTCACATCTGCCTCTCATATCTGCAATGGCTGCACCTAGAACAGTGCCTGGTCAGTAAGCACACAATAAGCAATTCCCTGAAGAGTCCAGTGTGGGAAATCTACAAATGCCATTGGTTATGGCAATTGGGTGACTGGGGATGTGTGTGAGCCAGATGGCCGGCAGTGAGTAAAGAAATGAATGGAGGTGAGAAAGTGAAGACCAAAGCTGAGAGCTTCTTTTCCTAAGCATTTGGGCTGAGAAGAGACATGCCGTAGTAGTTAGAGGGAGATGTGTGATTAAGGAGAGCATTAAGAAAAAACTGTCCTCCAATGATGGAGCAAAGGGAAGCAAAGAACAGTAATGTGATTTGAGTTAAGCAAGAGTTTGATTCTGTGACAGAACCCAAGACCTTGCATGTGCCTACACAGAACCCGAGACCTTGCATGTGCCTACTTATGGCTAAATATCTCTTGGGAGGATTTTGTGATTAGTGTTTTACATGGGTTCAGAATAAACCCATTCATTCATTTTATTCATTTGATACCTAATCTGTTACCACATGCTACGTACTTTTTAGGTACAGAAGATGTTGTTTTGATCAAGATAAACAAGGTTCCTGTTCTCATGAAATTATCTTCCAGTAAAGGAGTCAACAAGCAGTGTTGTCCATCACAGCTGAAAATCATGGCCCAGGAATAACTATTGAATCTTTATTCCAGACAGTAGGGTGGAGGAAGGAAATGGAGATTTTTAAGAAGATGCCTATAGCATAGAACTTAGCTATCACTGACTTAAAGCTTAGCCATATGGCCACACATAGCTCTAAGAAAGGATCAGAAAATGTAGTCATATAGGAGTAACTAACGCATAGGAGATAACTGGGTACTAGATGGTAACTAGCACTCTATGCTACAATCTGTAAGGAAAGATTAGAGAAGTCTCAGCTTAAAGCAATAATAACCATGATAAAATTTCATATCCCTTTGCAAGCATATATGAAAACGTATACAAGAGTTCTATAATGATCTTAAGCTAAGAGGACAAAAAAAAGTGGAGAGGGGCTTAAACTAGAGATGAAACTACCTTAGATACAAGAAAGATTTTATGGCAGTCACGTAATTAGGATTACATAGTATATGTGTATTGTGACTAATTGGATTCCATCTTGACTATTATGACTAGTTGTTCTTATAGAATAGGATTTTGTGTGTAAATAATAGGTAGGTTTTTTTTTCTGGGCAGAGTCTCCCTTTATCACCATATTCTCAATGGCATATGATGAACAAAAATGTTAAGAATTATTATACCTGATTTGATGTGGAATAACTTGACTTTTCTCATTTCTGAGTTTAGAAATTATAATCGGTCTTTTTTAGCAAGCAGGGCATTTGGTAGTGCTGGTATTCACATTTAAGTAATCTATGCAGTGCGTCTTCCATCTAACTCTTTCTACACCTTTTCAACTGTTCTCCTACCTTCTCTCTTCTCATAGCATGTGGGTTTCTTTCTGTCCAGTGAGTCAGTTGATGAGAATGTTAATTTACGTGAATTGATGCTCTGAAAAAAATTAAAAATGTGTTAGTTCGGCATTCCATTGGGGCAGTTAGTGTTCTTTGGACAGGTAGTTCTGGCCCCCAGTGTCCACTGTGAGTACAACTGTGAACATCAGGGTACTTTCTAAGACCAGTTGTAGGAAAGGCCTACAGTTTTAAGAGACTAGGAGTTTCTTTTTGCTGTTCCTGGAGCCCTTTCTCCTCTCTGCCGTTCCATGGTCTATCTGCTTCCAGTTCCAGTCCAGTTCCAGACTATTTGTCTAAGTGCTCTAGGAAATCTAAAATCTTAGCCCACAGCCAGTGCTTCCTCAGATCACCTTCCAGGAGGGGCTAGAAGAGCCTTTCTCTCCTGCTGGGCTCCCTGTTCAGGATCCTGGTTTCCAAAGCAGATGCCGGCTCTACCCCTCGCTCCAAAGGCTATCACCGCCTGTGATCTGCACTTCACTAGTTTCAGGAAGGGGCTGCCCTCCACACTTGCCCCGGTAACAAACTCACTGCCAAATCCACTTTGGAACAAGGCAGAGTATAAATAAATACATTAAATGCTTTCAGTTGTCCCCCCCCCCCCCGAGTCTTACCAATGTTCCTTCCCTCAGCATCTCCATGTTTCGCTATTTCCACTTGTTTCACTTGTGTGATATCTTGGTGCTTTTAAGATGTGTCAATTTTACTCTTAAAATGGAATCCTGGTCAAATTGGCTTACTGAAGTTAAAACCTTTTTCTTGCAATAATTTCACGTGTCCCCCCCCCCCCCCCCCCCCCCCCCCCCCCCGTCTCTTCTGGTAGCCTTTTTTGACAGCAGCCTCCTGAAATCAAGCTGATATTAGAAACACTGTAGGAGGAGGAGTCTCATTAAACTTGACAGCAGGGGAAAGTTTAAAGAAGTCTTTATAACCAACTTTGTTCCCTGGAAACAAAACTCAGATTTTAGGGCATGATCTTTTCCTCCTGATGAATCTATTGCGCTATTGTGGAAACAAATCAATTTTTATTCCCACACCAAGAGGCACTCCCTGTACTACCTCTAGAATTTAAAAACAAATTGTTTGTTTTTGAGAGAGAGAGA